TCTGTTTTTTTTTCTGCAAATATTTTCATAACAGTTTTTCTGAATAGTTTTCCACCATGACAGTTCCGCTGCATAAATTTATGCGCAGTACTATAGATTGTCAACTAGGTCTGATCGTTTTATTGTTGAACTAGTTAGATGTAACTGTAAATTATATTCTTATAAAATATTTCCCGCCTGTGTGATACTCTTCCGGTTTCTAGTTTCCTTGCCGCCAACAACCTTCAAAAATTTAAATACAACGTCAATCGCCATCTTCTGTCTTCCTGAATCATGTTCTTTTATTATCTTTCTCCTCCCTAAAGTTTTCACATTCTCTTTCACACCCAGTAACCCCTTGGATCTTACTGGTATTATCGACTTGCTTTGGGAGAAATGTTTAAAAAAACGCACTTGTTCCAGGAACGGATATTTTCTAACTTGACATAGAACCTCCCTATAGCACCAAAGAAGAAGGTCTTGTGTAGCACTGACGCTTTCGTGGCACTGTCAGTAGAAGACTGGGAAATTTGGCACACTTCTCACGCGTACACATCCAACATTAAACCAACCTTGAGTAACATTTGACTTCGTGAGAGGATAAATAAATATTACAACGAAAGACAACAAACATCACAAAGTTTGTAAAACACTTTATTTTTAAAAATTTTTGCTAAACCCTTTTAAAATGGATTTGCATCCATAAATTTTACAGACATATGGTGGTACATTTGCGTTGATATATTCTTCGCTCATCGAATTATCTGATAATCCTTGAATGCTATCCATTATAGAACCCTTGAAAGATTTTTTAATTTTATTTAAAATGGTATTTTTTTCTTATTAATATTTTTCTTGAAACACATAACACTGTGATAAAAGGCTTAGAATGTATTTTCATTTGAAGTTTTTGCAAAGAGTTACAAACAAATCTTTACAGACAACCAATCTCTGGGAAGAATAAAATGTTAGATTTAGCTGTTAAAAAATTAATATCAATTTCTGTTTTATATTCTTATTATCATTCTTTTTGTATACTTGATGATTTTGGTAAAAACTGATCTGAAAGAAGACGATGTCTCAACATTTTTATCGGATAAAAGTAATAAAACCATAATACAAAAGTAAAGAACGATAAGAAGAAAATAAAATAGAAAAGATCTGGAATTAAAGTTAGATAAACATGTGCGGCGATTGAAAAACGCCGTCTTGCAAATTGTGGAATAAAAAACTAGACGAAAATGGAAAAAGTCACATAGTATACAAAGTAAGCAGTTTGAACAGACGCTCGGAGAAGTCCTTCTTTCGATGACGACTGTGATGAGATGTTCATCTAGAAGGTAACTTTAATGCTCAGGGTAGCTTTTACCTGGAAAAGAAAGTGTAAAACAAACACGCGTAAGAGTATTTCATAAAAGGCGAATCGGCTTGCGGTAATGGTTAACGAGATCCCTTCTTTGAGTCACTCAAGTGTCGGATGAATTTTATTTGGTTAACGGATATTTGTGAACTGTGTAATTGTTAATATTGAAAAGGGAAAAATGCGTTTATCTAAACTCGAATGGAAATTTATTTTTAACAGAAAAACTTCAGGACAAGGTCGATAACAATCTGGATATGCCGTGTTTTATTTTACTAAATTTTCGGCAATATAATATTCAAGGGTCACCCGATAGCGATAGGTTTGGCGACGAAAGAGATTGCAAAGTGGGGAATAAGTCTTCTCCCACAAGACTGCGGGAACGATTTTAAATTCTACCAAGTGAAGATTGATCAGTCGGAAACGAAATATGGCTGCAATAAATCATTTTTTCTCTAACCTGACTTTTGCAACGATAAAGCATGGCGGAAGATGTCATATAATTAATGGAACGACAGAATGGGGCGACCATTTTCCCAGCATCTTGAGAGATTTATTGTTTTATATGGATATTATGTGGGGTCTGGAATAAACTAGGAACCCAATATACATCCAGTGTATAGAGCCTCAGTAAGACTGCAAAAGTTCATCGAAACACGTAAAGTCTCAGGATCAGATCGCTGATGATGAAACAATACTAGTTTTTTAATATATAGTGGGAATTACAAATCTGTTATTTCTTCATTGAGTTATCAGAGCTAAATCAGAGTGGAGATCAGCTGCAAGTCTTCGATCATCTTGGATTTTGGAAGTGTGTACATAACCATTAGTATCACCTGCATAGATGTTTACCAAAAATCTGAGAATGTTTCTAGGCCGATCGTTAATATAAAGCTGAGAGTAGGACTGATAAGAATCCTTGTGGACTTGTGCATTGATATTATGTTTCAAAGACTGGCATTTCACAACAATCTTCAAGAAGAGTGGAACCGTTTATCGTGTCCGGAGACAATTCAGGATTTGATTAATAATGATGAAACGATACTAGCTTCTTTTTCCAGGTATTTATCCGAGAGAGCTGTTAGAGAAAGATGAGAGGAGAGATCAGCTGGAAGCTGATTATCTTGTTTTGGGGGCGGGGGAAATGTTTCCCTAGTGAGTGGTATCATACTCATAGACGCTTACCAGTAGTCTGAGAATGTTTCTAGGGAAATCGTTAAAAATAAAACAGAGATCACGGAGGATGAGAAAGTTTTGGAAACACCTTCATTGACACCATTAACTACAGAAAATGACGATTCACAAAAAACTTCATGGACCAACCTTGGTGAAGCTCTCTCTGAGATGCCATAACTAGAGAGTTTGTACTGTATCCTCTACGTCAAACTTTGTGAAAAGTATTTGAGAGATATAATACTAGAGCTTTAGTAACAAATTCAAACAAAATGAAATACTTACGACACCCTTATCATCGATTAACTCCAGTTCAGAAGTTCTGCTCATGTCGCCCCAGTTGTCAATGTTAGAGATAATGTTACCTTTTCTGCTATCGGCTTCTTTTTCGAAATTCTTAGCCCAGATCTAAAGGAAAATAATGAGAAAGAATCAAATCATCATTCTGTAAGTTCCTCCCGTCACACGGTTGTTACTCCCTACCACTGCGTCACATAAACCAAGAGACATGAGTTGATTGCGATTTTGAAAGATGTAAGAAAAAGATATATGAGAGACGCTGTCTACAGTTAGTGAGAAAAAAAAAGCTTTCATAATATTAAGAAAATAGAAAGAAAGAAAGAAAGAAAAGAAAACAGAAAAAAGGAAAATCAAAGAAAGAAAGAAAAATAAAGAAAGAAAGAAAGAAAGAAAGAAAAAGAAAGAAAGAAAAAGAAAGAAAGAAAATATAAAAAAGAAAGAAAGAGAACAGAAAAAAAGAAAGAAAAGATAAAAATGAAAAAGAAACAGAAAAAAGGAAAAGCAAAGAAAGAAAGAAAAAAAAGAAAGAAAACAGAAAGAAATAAAGAAAAAAGAAAGAAAGAACGACAAAAGAAAGAAAACAGAAATAAAGAAAGAAAGAAAACAGAAAGAAATCAAAACGAAAGAAAAAGAAAGAAAGAAAAAGAAAGAAAGAAAACAGAAAGAAATCAAAAAGAAAGAAAAGAAAGAAAGAAAAAGAAAGAAAGAAAACAGAAAGAAATCAAAAAGAAAGAAAAGAAAGAAAGAAAAAGAAAGAAAGAAAACAGAAAGAAATCAAAAAGAAAGAAAAGAAAGAAAGAAAAAGAAAGAAAGAAAACAGAAAGAAATCAAAAAGAAAGAAAGAAAAATAAAAAATAAAACAGAAATAAAGAAATAAAGAAAAAATATAAAAAATAAAGAAAGAAAAAAGAAAGAAAGAAAGGAAAGATAAAAATGAAAAAGAAAAAAAAAGAACAAAACACTTATTTTGATAACTGTAAAAATGTTTATTTATTTATTATATTATTTATTATATTTATTTTTAAATAAGAAATGTTGTAATATTTCATTTATAAAATAATAATGGAATGAAATCTTTATTCAATTAAAGTAACAGCTACATTATACACCCTACCATTAGCGCAGATAACTAATACACCATTCCGCAATTATAACGAGGAAAATCCAAAGAAAGCGAATGTTTCTGGTTTTAGTAAGAAAAAGAAATCAAACACAATTATAATGCAACTATGTGAATGCCGTTTATGATATAAAAATCTCAAATTTCCTCTTATGAACCTTATTTCGTTAGCACAATAATAAAATATACTTAAAATGTTTTCTTTTTCTAGTAGAGTAAAATATTATTGTTAATACAAAACTGAAAATGAACACAAATCTATTAATTAAATAAAATAAGCGTAAATATACATCAAATCTAAATATTAAACTTTTTTCCAGAAAGTAAATAACCAAAAAGTTATAACAACGAACGAAACAATTTTTACGCTTTTTATAAAACATTAGTATTTATAGATAAATATCTAATTTCTTTATGAAAAAAGATTCTTAAGAACATTTAATTGGAATAAGATTTTTATTGTTCGGAGGAGCTCTTTGATACAAACAAAAAAAAACTATTTCTTTTATATTTCTTAAAATATAGTAAATGTAAAAAGAACCGAATACAATAGACTTCTAGCGACCAAATTATAATCAGTTGTTCTTGGTTGTATTTTCACAATTTCTTATCCTTTGTCGTTCTAAGAAATATTTGTCTTCCTCTAAATTCCTCTTCTGCCATCCATTCACGCAATCTTAGCATTCATTTTTTTTCTATAATATTATTTTAAATAAAATTTAATAAGTCAGTTGCTTCAAAATCAAAATCTATCACAGGTACCAAATTTTATTTTTTCATTTCGACAAACAGAAATTCCATCAGAAATCTATTTTTTTCTCATTCTTATTAAAACATAGTCACACACTCTACTTAACCAGGTTAACATTATTTAACCCCCACCCCAATGTATCTACGTTATGAAAAAGATTCCTAAAGAATGGTACGAGCCATGTTTTTTTTTCTTTTCTAGGAAGAATTCTCTTTTTTATTATATTTTTATTTGTATTTCTCTTGATTTATTTAATGTTTTCTAAAACATGGAATTGGAAGGAACAGAAGACAATAGATTAGGAGCCAGCAAATGAAAGTAATCTGTTCTTGTTTGTATAATAGTACAGTGTAGCCAATCAAATTGTTGCGAAACATTATCTGTGTCCTCTTCTCCTTTTATGTGACGCACTCTTACAGGATATAGGTGATCATAGCTCTCCACAACTACCTATTCTTTGTACCTCTAAACGATAGTTGCTTCCTAACTTCTCAGTCTCTGTTCGTCCATTTTCGCAATACCGTTAGGTAGTTCGATGTTACTCACTGATCGTCAATATATCTTGGGAGTGTCAAATTCACGTTGGAGTGACAAGATCTTCCTCATTAAAGTGTTCCAGAAATGTCAACTGTCTCTTTCTGATTCGAACTACAAGTGTCATTTTTATTTCCATTTTCCCTGACAACTCCTAATTTCTCACATTATCCGTTCATAGCATGCTCAGCATCCTTCTGTAGAACATCTTTTTGCCGAAAATCTTCATTTGGGAGGAAATTTTCTAAAATTCACTTCTATAGAGCAGGAACGATATTATTTCTTTTTCTTTTTTTTTTCTAATAAGATTTTTTTCTGTTTCTTAATTCTTTGTTTAGTTTTTGGAAGGCATCTTTTGATATTTTAACGCGTCTACGGATTTCAAGATCATATTAAGAATGATATTGTGTTTTTTTTTTCCATATCTTAAGTAGCGCTTCGTATTCTGTTGGGAAAATTTTGCAATAGATTAACATGAAATTGATAAGTGATCAAGAAACTCTAATGAGTAACAATGGGTGACAATAGGTGACACTTACTGTGACAGTTTGTTCCGCATCAAGGTTATACTCATTTTGGAAGACGTGTTCGAGGTTGATTTCTTGATTAATGCCGGATGCTGCATATTTTCGAGTCAGTCTCCATCCTTTCAAATTCACCGACTATTTTTAAATAAAAAAAAATATATATAAAATTACACGCACACATATATATAAATTCAAACTTTGGTGTCGCCAACAGACTACTCACCAAAGAAAGAAGAAAAAACAATATATATCAATATATTCAAACAATAATAAATAAAAATTTAATGAAAATCTAACCTCCTACATTTGATACCCTAATAGCAATTAAGATACAACCAAATCAGATAAGAAAACGAAATGATGGCCAAGTGAAGATATATATATATACTTTATCATTTAACCATTAAAATTAATTATCTATGTAATAAATGAAATACAATTTACCGAACTCAAGAAAAGAATAGAATGCTCAAAAATTAAAAACGACAGTCTCTCTAGAAAAAGCTGAAGCCAAATAGCAACAATTGAAAAAAGTGGTAAAATGTAACACAAGGGATACTGAAGGTAACATCAATCAGTTAAATGACAAATCTTTTACTTGTATTAATTATATATATATATATATATATATATATATATATATATATATATATATATATATATATATATATACATACATACATATATATATATATATATATATATATATATATATATATATATATATATATATTATTAGGAATAGGCATGCCAATACTCCACAGAGAGCGGTGAGCCCATCGTAGTCCATTGTCTATCTTTTAATACACTCAGATGTTACACCACTACCATAACTCCTGATATAGTTAATTGCGTAAAAACTGATTATTAGAATTATGTTACTAAGTCATTTTATAAATAGGTCTTAATTAATAATTAAATTTATAAAAACTAGGAAAAATTTACAGCTTTAACTTACAATTTTTGATCGGTAGGTAGACGCGTTTTCAATTATAACGAAACGACCATTGTTGTCAACCTCGTGGATAGAGAAGGGACTTTTTGCGGTACGCGTCATAGTGATCCGACCTGTAGCCGTGGTTATGGAACCTGCAAAATGAGCAACAAAACTGGGTGAACGACTTGTACGATTGCCCATTGTACTACGTGCGACTGAGTTGGAGACGTCCTTTGAAGTAATAAGGGGTCGGGTCCTCCCCTTACTAACACAAGTGCTAATAATCTTTCGCGCTGCCCTAGCGTCCCGCCGCGCACTTAAAGTCCTTACTGATGATGTTCATCTTCTTGGCGCACAATTGGCCATTTTTAGTCCCGTTTTTTATTGCGCGGCGGACAAATCCCCTGTGGTACACAAATAGTAGCAGGTAGTACAATGAACAATCGCACAGGTTGGGACCCACCACCAAAAAGAAAGCACCCGCAACCAAAAAGGGTTAATAGCATGTAGAGTTCGAAATAATTTAGGGAATCAAATTTAAAGGATTTATTTTTAGGCTCTTATGAGTATATTAGTATTTGTCGAAACAGATGAATTTCTTAGACATATTTTCAGAATCTCAATTTATAATATACAAATATATAATTTTTCCTGCTTTTCCTTCGGCTCCGAAGAAGGCTTTTTTGTAATTCATCAGTGGATCCATGGGTGGTTGCACAACCCAAGTATGACTGCATAAGATATATCAGATATAAAGGATTGTTTTACGCTTTTGTGGACACTGGAGGTCGGAGGTTGTAACCAATGCACAAGTTGCACGGTGGTGATGTTCGCTTTGAGTAGTAAGTTTGTTTTTACACCCTTGTGAGAAACGCCTACATATATGAATTTCTGAGGCATATTTTCTAAGTGTTAACTTATAGTATTGAAATATATTCATTTTACCATATACAAAGGCCACAATATTGGGATATCCATTAAAGATAGTTTACTAAACTTATTTTAGCTCAAAGACATAAGATTTCTGTAGTCAGTGCTGGACAAATGCAATATCCTAGCGAATTGATACACAAAAGTAAACTTTTTGCTATGCTAGGCGTCCGGATGAACGTTCAGGCGCTTAACGGATCATTTACTAAGAATAATAGCTTAGGAACAAATCGATTTATCTGAACAAGTTCGATCCTCGATGTCGTTATTATCATCATTATTCGTCGTCATTCGGAGGTGATCATAGTATCAGCTGAATTCATGATTTGCATTATATTAATATAGAGTTGCCCCAAATAATCAGCCTCACTCGCTTGATCCCGTCTGCCTGAAGTTCAAATTCTAGATCAAGAGGCAGATGAAACACAGATTAAGTAATGCTCAACTTGAGCCCATCTAAAGGTCAGAAATTAATTTTATTTTTGAATGTTGACAGCTTGTTTGGAATTTAATTTTTTGCTTGCATCGAATGCAATTCGTATGGATTTACTTAACTTTTTTCTTGTTTGCTGTATGCTTTTGTATTTAAATCTTTGCTAAATACATCTTCAGATTAAATTGAGTAACGAAAAAAAGAAAAGAAGCACTTAGGCGCAATAGTGAAGCAAAATCGAGATTTTATAAGCATGACAATGGTATATGAAAGTAGAAGCAATGAAACTAATAAGAAGGTTATGTATTATTTGTAATAATAGAAACAATAAAAATATAAAATCCCAATTAAAACATCCACTTCTCACAAGAGATGAATTTTCCCCCTTTAATTCAAAATTTATTTCTACTAGTTGAGAATTTTAAACATGTGAAATCTCATGGGAGATATTAGACGTGTACAAATGTTCCTAGAGTTCTTGTTCAAAAACTAGAATCAGATTGTACAGTTGGATGTCGTCTTTGATTTATTCTAATGGAAACTTTGAACCCGCCTATTAGAATGTAAAACATACTAAACTAAACACCGTTTGACAAAACCCCTCAGTAATAGATCTTTTAGTATCAAATTCACCACGCAATGCTTGTATGATCAGAATTTTAACACTTACGTTGAGGTACACTCACAGGTATGGAATGATGGACCTTAGTTTTTATATCGGCCAAAAATTAGGAATCAAACTCAATATACAGTAATAATGGCCCGCTAAACGATTTTGGAAACAAACTATTGCGAGTTGAACAAAATTGATATTGAGTCCTAAATTGGATCGATTTGATTCCACCTGCAAATTGGTCGGCAGAATGGCATATATTTTCACAGATTAGCTTTTCTTTTCAAAATGTTAGTAGCGAAGCATTCAGTAAGAATCGAACGTACGAGTAAATAACAAAGGACTTCACGGTGCAAATCACTGCTTTACATATCATACACTTCGAAAATGTATAAAAGAAAGAAATAGAAACACACGTACGTACACACACATACATATAAATTTAGTTAAAGATAGGTACCTTCACAGATTCGCGGGAAAAATGCTCCAGAAAATAAGAAAAACGTTTTATCGTCAAAATCTTAATTATTAAAAAAAGGACCAACGAACTTTTTGATTATTAAATCATATTTTTGATCTTTTTTTTGTTATATGAAGAGGCTGGAGGTGGGGTTTACCAAAGATTAGTATAACAAATTATAGCGTCTTTTTTGCGGTGAAAAGCATTGATTTGGAAATTCTTGCAAAAATTAAATAATTGTTGGATTTTAATTAACATTCAGGACTTATTTAAAAAGGAATGAAATTATTTTTTAAATGTTTTCTTTTTTAGAAAATTTTGGTAAAAACTTTTTTTTACGTCTATTACCCCCACTTAATTAATTTTATGAAATTTTGAGAAATTAATTTTTATACCGACTAAATTAAATTTTTATACCGATTAATTTTTGTATTAGTTATATTTGGAACATCTTGGAAAACTTAAATCATCAATTTTTCTTTTGTAAAACAGGTCCCAGAATTACCGAAAATTTTCTCCGAATCGTAAAATGAAAAATGCAATAATACTAAGACATTTAATAAGAAAAGATTTTAATTGCTTTTATGAATAACATATTAGAGATATTATTGTTTTGAGAATTTTTTTTTCAATGAATAATGAATTTTTTTAAAGAATTGTTTTGATTTTTTAAAAACTTATTTAGAATAATTTATAGTTATAAGTCTTTTAAATTTCCGTATCAATTTGTAATGGTTAGTTGATATTGTTATTAAGTAAAAACTATATTTATTAAAAATACATTGAAAAGTTTACTATAATCAAAGTATTGAAACGTGAAAGCTTTTGTGTAGCGATTTCAACATGTTTTTATTATAATCTCTTATAATAAAATAATAATGCACGCACGCACACACACACACACACACACACATATATATATATATATACATAAACAGTCGCTATATTTATAATTGTATTGAACTACTGATTAGCAATTTTTTCTCAAATAAAAAAATCAGTTGCGAATGAAAAATAAAATTGAAGTCTCCATAAATCGAGAAAATGTGTTACAATGATAAGACAATTGAAAAATAAATAAAAATGTATATGAATAACAAAGAATACAAATGAAAAATATTGAAAACTCCCAAATCTTGCATTGCAATGGAATAAAAATATTGTCAAAATGGCGACCTTAATAGTTTTATCTTTTTGTACTTTCACTCTTCCGTTCGTTTTTGTTTTATGTGAGCGAATTTTAAACTTTTTAAACTTAAATTTGATCTTTTCCCATCAGTCAGTTCATTCGTAATTTTCAAAATATATTTGAGTCGACTTTCCGAATAGATTATTAAATTTTCTATAGAAGTATTTTAAATGTGATTAATATACAGGGTGTCCATAAAGTTCGTGAGCAATTTAAAATACTTGTAGCCATGTAATTGTGCAATCTGTAATCTGTAAAAAGGATAAGAAATCTTCATATGTCGAGTTTCATTCTTATCTTCGGAAAATTTATTTATTATTTGTTCTACCTACTATTTTTTTCAGTTTCTTGAAAATGACCTCTTTCCTGCGGAAGATTTGAACAGCGTGTTGTCAATGATCGTTATTTAGAAATACTGCAAAATGATTTTATTTCTAAACTTGTACAATTCGAACTGATATAAAGGACACAGTGTTTCAACAAGGTTGTACATCTTGTCACTTTGCTTTGTAAGTTGGGCAGTTTCTAAATGAAAAACTCCCTAACTGGTAGATTGAAAGAGGCGGACAGTTATCTTGGCCTCCACAATCACAAGATTGGATTTCACTGAATATTTTTTTATGGAGATATGTGAAAAGTAATGTTTATTCAGCTAAACCTCAATATTTAGTAGAGGAATTGCAACTGAGGATAATTGAAGTCATTGAAGTTATTAATGCAAAATGTTTTCCAAGAACTACAAAATCGTGTTACTCTTCGTAGGCGTAAGGATGGCGGACATGTTGAAAATTAATAATCCCAATAATAAATTTAAATACTTCTTCTTCTTCATCCTTTTTATAGCTTGTTTCTGTCATGCATAGTTACAAGGCTATACGCATTTTAAATTTCACAGAGACTTTTTGGAACCCTGTATTAAAAAATTATTCATGTCTTTTATTCGGTATTTACGTTAAAATCTCGTTTAGATTTCATTGTTTCCATGAATCCGTTAAATTAAACATTTACATTGCTAAGAGTTTTATATTCTTATATTTAAAAGCGATTTTTAGCCAACCATTTTGACCAATCAGCAAAGAAAGCAAAATGGGGAAAAAAAGAACAACAAAAAAAAAAAAAAAAAAAAAAAAGAGAGAGACCGATTCGGAACCATTCTGTGTGATGTGACTTAACCAGAAGCGCTAGACTACCATTAAAAAAAAAAAAATATTTAACAAGCCGGAAACAAAAAAGAAAATAAATTTTTTTATCCACACCCTCCAATAAATAAATAAATAAATAAATAAAAAATAATAATAATTGTGCTATTTACTTTTTGTGATATTTATGGAAAGAAAAAAAAAGCTTCCATAACCCCAGGAGGGAAAGCGTAAATTTTATGACATGTGACAATGGGGAATATAACTTGAAATATGACTTCTTTTTTTTTCTATGAGCCGTGCATATAATTGTTCTTTTTATCGTCATTTCCTTTCATTCTTAGATTTTCGCTGCCTCCAGCTTTCTCCTCATTGCCCAGCATTAAGAGGATGAATATTCCATAGCAATCCAGAGCAAAATTTAACGAATTTTTTCCCGTTTCTCAGCACCTTGCTTAGCTTTTGAAATGCTTCTTTCGTTAGACCAATGTATACTTCGGATTTCGGTGTCACATTTTCCATCCTCTATTAAAATACTTCTCAGATATTTAAACTTTTTTGCCGGCTTGATGTTGACATCTACAATTTTTAACTAGCATCTCGAGCGTTTTCTCTTGTTGATAATCATACTTCCTGTCTTCTTGCACTTGATAGTCATTTCTTCTCTCTTTCTTGTACCACACTGTCTACAAGTTCCTGTTATTTTCTTTCCGCGTTAGCCATCAACACAATGTCATCTGCGTTTCTTATAGTGCTAAAATTGCTCCCACTGAAAATAAATCCTAGTAGAGTTACCCGTTCCCTTAGGATAAACGTTGTTATAGAATTTGAATATATCTGGGGAAAGGACACATCCTTGTCTCACGCCTCTTTTTACTTTTATTTAGCAAGTAAATTCATTTTCTATCCGTATACAGGCAATTTTCTTTCAATATATGTTCTGGATTATTCCAACATCTTTTCCAATAATAGATCGAGTTTTCCTAGCAGTTCAAATAGATCCTTGAGTCATATCTTGTTAAATGCTTTTGCGTAATCTCTAAAACATAAGTTCACATACTTCTGAATTTCTATTGCTCTCTCTAATATCATTTTAATTATAAAAATTGCATTTCTAGTTCCAGTGTGTTTGACACAGCCGCATTTTATTTTCCTAATTTCTGATCTAATTCTGTTTGGTGCTATGACTACAGAACTAAAAGACAGACCCAAAGTATTGCCAAGATTCAATTTTTAAAATACAACGTGTGTTAGCACGTGCGATACCCTGTTTTCATCAGCTGCCGACCAGGGGTGATATCACGGTTTCGATGGCTATGGCGGGACTGCCACCCCTGACGCCACCAGCAGCGTTTGCCCCCAGGCAGGGTATGAAGATAAGCTAATTGATCGTTCCTTTTTATAAATTCTTGTAATTAAATAAATAAAACGTTTGTTTTTCTTTGCAGCTCCTATCCGTAATGAAAGTTTGCCGTTATTGACGCAATAATGTAATCAAATTTCAATTCTGAATTTTTACAATTTTCCTCATATAATTAGAAAATTGGTTGGGATGGTGCAATAAAATTAGCCAGTGACAAATAAAACAATAATTTTTTTTACCTCGAAAACGTTCTGTAAAGACGAAAGTCGAAAATGAACAACAAACGAAAAATATATATTAAGATTAGCTCAGTACACTAACCCCCCCCCAAAAAAAAACCCAAACAATTAAGTAGCAAGAAGTATTGAGTTGCGTCAAGCACTCAAATGCAGTGAATCTGTTTGTTTCAAAATCACCATTTTAGTTCCAAACTGCTGCTTGATCTTGAATAACAATTAACCACTAACACTGGTTGCAAATTCGCCATCTTTTCAGACAGCAAACACGTTTATTAGCAAGAACAATTTAAGATGACACACAGAGGTTGAAATGTACGAATAAACGTTATATTGATATATAGATATAGGTATAGTTATAGGTTCTTAATGGTTATTCTTCTTATATGGTTATTTTATTTCAATAAATTACTTATATGCATAATTATAAACATAAAATCAAGCGATTAAAAAAAAACGGAATATACTGAACAATTCATAATTCAAGCGGCAGATAATGCATTTACGTTTGTGACTTTTGGTGAGATTTAATTATTACGTAAGTTTGGTCAACTAATCAGCAGAGAATTGGTTATTTCAGAAAAAAAGAATTGAATCCCGTTAGTCTGTAGTTTCACTTACCAGAGTCGCCAGTAGTTGATCCAGAGGAATGATCAAGAATGTTGGCCAGGGCGTCTCCACTCTCTGAGCGATATCCACCAATCATTCCGGTCATGTGTCCAATCGAAAGTCTACGGAGGAGAAACAAAAAATATCATTCAAATCTCACTTCTTCCCTCTCCCTCTCTCTGTCTCTCTGGAAAACGAATTTGAATGAATTCTTGGAAACTTACATTTGAGAAGCATTATAAAACAAGCCCCTGATAGAGTTGCTATCCGTACTTCAGGTAATATGGCTTGATACCAGACTAAATTAAGCTTACTATTATGATGCCTAAAACCCATTACTAAAATTCGTCAAGATTATGGATCCATACAAGAAGTGAAGTAAGGATTTACATAAGTCAGTGTTCGAGTCGAGTTAAATAGAGAATGTTTGTGAATGCTGATATTAAAAGGCGGTAGGACTTTATAACCAGGACAGTGGCATATCACAATCATCCCTTACCTATTTACTTTTATTTAAGCTTGACCCAGGCACAACTAGGCTAAGCACCATGCTCACTATATATATATATATATATATATATATATATGTGTGTGTGTGTGTGTGTGTGTGTGTGTGTGTGTGTGAATTTGAGGAATAAAATAAAAATCCAACAAAATGATAACAATATTGGCAATAAGATTGATGATTTTTATTTTATATTAGCCTTTTGATTAAAATGAAACACAAATAGAAAGATTTTAAAGTCAGGACTTTTGGACACGCCTGTGTCCTTTTTCAACGAGACGAAGAATAAACAAAGAAGTAGAACTGACTCTTCCAGGGAAACGTTGTTGTTGTTTAGAGGGCTCTTTGTGGAAACTATATTCTCTAAGTAAACCCAAATCCCTGTTAAAAACTTTCTGTGATTCTATTTTTAAAATGCATTTTAACTCTGATCTGCGTCTTTATTGTCGGCTGGAGACGCTAAAAGCATGCATCTGATGGCATTTCATATATAGCTCTTGAAATTTCAATTGAGCACTGTTGAATAACAAGCTAATTCTACAAAGAGACACCTGCAATAATACGAAGCTCTTCAGTAAAACGAATGGAGCACTACGGCTGTTTGACCTTTGTTTACATTTGTAATAACAATATGCTAGATTTAACTGCCGCATTCAGTCGAGTGAAGATAGCTCAGTGGTAGAAAATATGACTGACACCAAATCGGTTGGGTTTCGATCCTGGCTTGAGGCATTCGGATGTCTAGTCGCACTGAGGAACTGTGATACAGCGAAGCAGTATTGTCTGCGAATGACATATATATATATGTTTTCATACATGTTTCATTAAATAATATAGACAAGTTTTGTCTATTTATTTTATGTAAATTCTTTTCATATTGTCTGATAAGCTTAATAACATTATCATTAAACGAAGAAAGAAAATTACAATATTGATCTATATTTTTTAATCCAATCTAAGCTTTCGGTTTGCATAAGCCATTATCAAAGATTTCAATTACTGTACAACATATTAAGCAATATACGGACAAGACAGTGATGATAGTCTGTGATAGTTTACATGGATGTTTTCCTAGGAACGATAAACACGTGCATATAAGACGCTAGAAGCGAAAATCGCACCGCAGCTCATGACGTCACACATGACCACGCGAGAGTGAATTCGAGAAGTATTAAGTATGGGAAGCCATTGGTATAAACAAATGGCTTCTGTTACCAATTATAGACATTTAAGGATATTTGTAGAAATTCCATAGTTGATTTTGTTTAGGGTGGGTTTCAAATGTTTGATGTATATTGCTTCAACGATTTTTAGTTTTTGTCTATTGTTTTCATGTTGAAGTATAATTGTGTTTTCGACAAGGATTTTTCCTTCTCCTACTTGGATAGCTTAAACCCAGACATTTCTACATCCCCGGAAAGTGTCTTAACACAGGACGAAGAGTGAAATCTCAATGTTCCTTCGGATTTCAGTGCCGCGTTCTCTGTCTTTTGTTAAAATATTTGCGGGATAATTACATTGTTGTACTAATACCCATTCTACTAACTGCACATTTAAACACATCATGAAATAATGAAAGCCTTCACTTCTTAATATGTCACCAGATCAGGAGAAACAATTCCCATGCCATATTGATTACCATGACCACAAAGTATATATATATATATATATATATATATATATATATATATATATATATATATATATATATTCTGCTTATATGTTATATTTATATATACAAATATTTAAATAAATGATTTGTTTATAAGAAACAGAACATTTATTTAAATATTTATACCTATAAAAATAACGTATAAACGTATATATATATATATTTTTATGTATATATATATATAATTATAATATATATATATAATTATAATATATATATATATATATATAATTATAATATATATATATAATTATAATATATATATATATATGTGTGTGTGTGTGTGTGTGTACATATACAGTGCTGTTCGATAAAAGTGACTCACCTGATTTTTTACTAAAAATATTTTTTTGTCTATTGTTCTTGCGGTTAAAATAATTTTTAATCTTACTAATATAAAGACCCCTTCCCGACCACCTAGGAAAAAAGTTTATTCACCCTAAGGCAGACCCATGCCACACTCTACTCAAAACAAGTTTTGAAACAAACACAAATATACCAGTTTTAGCCATTATCGACGCAACTCTCGCTTGCCACAGATATCTACAACTACGTCCGTGTGTTTCCCTTATATAGAGAAGCTGGGCAGCGAAAGAGAGAGAGAGAGACACTTCACGCACATACACACACACAAGCTAAACCTCGAGGCTACCTGAAAGCACGGCTGACTGTCCGTCCGATCATTAGGCTGAGAAAACGACCTCCTGTGAACACGAAAAGAGAATGAACCCGAAAATCAACCCGACAAAGGCCAAACCAATAGCCAACAAGCAGTCAGTTGGGTTAGGCATACTCTTTTTATGTTCTCATTTCACACCTCATATACGCTGCACTATACAATCTACCAGAGACATTTTCATATCTTGTAAAGAAGAAAAAAAAAGAGTAAAAAGAGAAAAGAAGAAAAAAAAAAGAGTATGTTATTTCTCCAAATCAGGATCTAATTGGTTTCTTTACTCCAACCAACTTCCACCTTGGATCAAGCATTCACAGTCAACTTTATATCGTTAAAGTTCTAAGCTAATCGTTTCCGATGTATATGACGCTCATTAAAAAAATTAAATACAGCATGAAATGGTGGATAAGGTGCTTCATCCATGCAAATCTGAGCTTTTTATGGTACATAGAACAGACAACGTTACAGATATGGAAAGTGTATTCTTTCGTTACTATCAAAGATCAACTTTACCTGTTCTCTTCACCTTCCAAGAGTTTTCTATAAGCAGCAATTTCCAACTCGAGTGACAGTTTGGCGTCCATCAACATCTGTAACTCTCTGACCATTGCTTCCATTTCTTCATGGAGTTTGGACACCTCATTTGCTCTCATCTCTTTTTCGTTCAACAACTCGTCATTTACTCTGTCCAGTTGACTGTGCAAGCTGCGCAACTCCATTTTCATTCTCTCAAGCTGAACAGAGATAAAAAGAAAACATAGAAAGAAAGAAAAAAAGACGCTGAACAGCGGGAGAAAGAAAGAAAGAAAGAGAAAAAAAGAAAAAAAGAAAGAGAAAAAGAAAAGTAAAAACGAGCGTAGAGAATAATAATAATAATAATAAGAAGAAGAAGATGAAGAAGATGAAGAAGAAGATGATTAAGAAGAAGATGATGATGAAGAAGAGGAAGAAGAAGAAAAAGAAGAAGATGATGATGGTGAAGAAGAAGATGAAGAAGAAGAAGAAAAAGAAGAAGAAGATGAAGAAGAAGAAGAAGAAGAAGAAAAAGAAGAAGATGAATAAGAAGAAGAAGAAGAAAAAGAAGAAGAAGAAGATGATGATGAAGAAGAAGAAGAAAAAGAAGAAGAAGATGATGATGATGAAGAAGAAGAAGAAAAAGAAGAAGAAGATGATGATGATGAGGAAGATGAAGAAGAAGAAGATGAAGAAGAAGAAGATGATGAAGAAGAAGAAAAAGAAGAAGATGATAAAGAAGAAGATGAAGAAGAAGATGAAGAAGAAGAAGAAGAAAAAGAAAAAGAAAAAGAAGAAGATGAAGAAGAAGAAAAAGAAGAAGAAGAAGAAAAAGAAGAAAAAGAAGAAGATGAAGAAGAAGAAGAAGAATAAAATAAGGAATCGGAATTGAAAAGAGAAAAAATGCAAAATTACATAGATACAAAAATAGAGAAATTAAAGGGAATAGAAGCAAAAGATTAGAAAAGAAAGAAGCAAAATATGACGGAGGAAGTCTAAGAGGAAGAAGCTGAGAAAAATAAAGAGAAGGGGAAGAAAATAGCGGAAAAAGAAAGAAAAGAAAAAAGTGAGACAAAGTAGAAGAGCAAAAAAAAAAAAAGCAAAACTGGTAGAAAAAGAAACAAGAAGAAAGAACAAGAATAGAAAATAAAGATGGAATGAGAAAAGATAAACATTGAATGAAAATCTTTGATGTCATTAAAAGAATGCTTTTAGAACTTGTATCAACAGTTAAGAGAATCGTTTTGAATAAGTAAAAAATAAAATTGTCTTACCTGACCCTCGAGTTCTTTAATTCTCATGTCCTTCTGAGACAACTCAGTTCGGTATTTTCTGGAATCGTCCTTGGAATGCACAACGCTGGATGGTTCGGCTTTAGCAGCACTTTGACTGATTTGTTGCAACTGGATGGGTTAAAAATACAGAAGAAAAACGAAATATAAAACATAAATTAAATTGCAGTGTGACGTTGTCTTTATAAATATTGAAAGAATTATATGATTTCTTCTTCAAAAGACGAGATTAATTCAAACGATTTTTATTTGAATTTTCAATTATGGCAATGTTAACTTTTAGCAGGGTGTGTGGGCGAGGTAATGGTTATCAGCACAGAACGTGGGGGGTGTCACGAGGTTAAATTCCGCTCAAATCTATTGTACACACTTTCACACTAGTGCCGTTTGGAAAAAAACACGATTACATTTTTCTCACTCACAATGATATGGGCTAAATAGAAGAATAGACTTATGTTCGTAGACATAGCCAATACTTTCATCCTTCTCCGATTCCATCCTCTCCCTCACCATGAGGATAAGTAACAGTTGCGGAGTTAAACTGACAGTCTCTATGCAGTGTTGATTACTATGCCCTATATATCACTCTCTCTCAATATATATATATATATATGGGACAATGATATATAATTTTTTATATATTAAGAACAATTTTTGGTAAAGATGTATGACAAATTGTAAAAATGCTTTCGTGTAATGAAGTGCTAAAGGACGAACCGAGTCACACGAAAACTTTTTTTTGTTATATATATATATATATATATATATATATATATATATATATATATATATTATTATTATTATTAACATAGAACTAAAACGTTTAGTAATCAACTTCCACAGATCAGATTTTTCATTTTGATATATCAGCTGTCAGTATACCACATAACACCCTTGATCGCTTAGCCTTGGAGCGGGTAGAATGAAGATCAACGTGTTTTAATGGACTCAGCCGTTTTCAATCTGATTGTCTGAATCATCTTCAAGAAGCGAGAGCAAGATCTAAAAGGTCATCCAGTCTAACAGTGATCTCATCTTACAATCATCACTCATGATCCATATGTGGCCTCCTTTGTAAATCACTAGCGGGTATTAAGTGCCACTTAAGATTATCGCACAAAATTTCATAACTGAATCAATTAAGCTGTCAGATCCTCATACGTCGAAACCGACGGGAGAGTTCATTGTTATATATGGTTACGCTGACTCAGAATGTTCAAGAAATTACTTAAAAACTAACCTGGCTTTCGTAACGGCTTGACAATTCTTGGGAAATATCGCCCAGTCTTTGTTCATATTCCTCTCTCAGTTCCTTCATGCATTTAGAGAGTTCGTCATTCCATGCGTCACGGACGTTAATTCCTGTCTCATCTTCTTTCGACAGCATCGCCTTGTATTCTTTTATTTCCTGTAATAATAAACAAATAATAATTCACATGAGATATTTGATGAACACTGACGATTAGAATTGTTTTCTTCAAATAAAACTATATTGGAAACATTGGTTCGACCATCTTAGTTTAGAATGATGCCAAAATAGTTGGATAAATAGTGGGATTATGAACCAACATACTGAACTAGACTAGAATTAAATTTATATATATATATATATATATATATATATATATAACCAAATGTAAAAGAATGAAGAGTAATATTTCAGCGTTCAAAACCTTAATTTAAAGCAGGGCTCAATACAAAGTAGAGCAATAAATATTTATTTATTATGCAGTGTTACATTAATGTTTCTTCAGATGGGAAATCCTGCTGCACAGTAGGTCCGTGATTTCCCACCCGAAGAAACGTTAATTTTTTAACGTTGAAACAAGACGTACAGTTTTAATGTAACAGTGCATAATATATATATATATATATATATATATATATATATATATATATATATACTCTTCAAAACATAGCCAAAAAATAATAACAGAGTGAGTGAGACCCATCCTATGAAAGTAGGCTCAGGAACATACAAACAGAATCAATCACATTGTCGCAACTTTTCTACTTAGAAAAGACGAGAGAGAGGAATCTCAGTCACTATATACTCCTAATCTATTTATTAACAATCGTAGAATAAATAAATGCTCTAGTGAAAAGATTATGAATCCACATAGAGACTTGAGGACAAAATTTTCTAAAAAATTTCTTCAGAACAAAGAAAAAAATTGCAGTAATCTTGATTATATATTATATACCTTATAAATATGTAACATAGTTTCTGACGAGAAAAAATGTCTAGCAAGAAGAAACTTTCTTAGCTACAGATTTAGCAATTGATTCAATATATTATTTCCACTTTATATCAATAGAAAATGTTAGTTTGAGAAGGAGTAATGAGTCACTTTCTTGGAGGTTAGCATCAGCCATCCTCTAGACAATTAAAAGAGAGTAATTTAGTTTTGAAAGCGTTAAGATTAACAAGCTTTCAACAATACCTGTTATCACATTAGCAGTTGATCTAGGGAAGCGAAAACCATATTACTTATCTGAAAGTAAACCTTGCAAGGTGAAATGCTTAAATAATTAAGTGTTAGAGCCTCCAATACATTGCCAAAAAGTGGTAAATCAATTATGATATTAGTATAAGAGGTTTTGAATTTTCTTCGATGAAATTTCGGATCGATAGAAATTCAATGTTTGTGCTGTCCAAACTGATTATCATATGATAATTAACTGGATCAAATTAACCCAGATGGAGCGGGCAGGAACAAATATCTATTGGAAATTATGCAAATAAATGCATTTGGCCATGGAGATTAACAGCATAAACATAAAGTAGAAATCGTTTATAACTTTTTGGGATTTTGAATTGAAATGGACCTTCCAATTAAGGCTAGAGGACAATCTGCAAACATCGCAAATAAAAACAAGTTTTAATATTACTTGTCATCGTTCCAAAAAAAAGATGACAGATGGGAACTAGAAGTTTGAAAAGATGTCTGGATTTTAGAAGAAAAAGAAAATCCAGTGCAACATGAATTTGACGCTTGTACTCATCATTGTCGGAGTGCTTGAAACAGTCTGAATAGTTGCGATAAAAAAATCTTTGAAATTAAGATGACAGCAATAATAGTAATAAAAGATTAATAATGATTGGTTAAAAAATTTAGAATTTTTCCCAAGATTTTTAGACTAATCATTATTTAGGCGGAAGAGGGTTTGAATTTTCTTCCATTAAATTTCGAATCGATTAAAATCTAGTGTTTGTAATCTCCAAACCTGATAATTAATTGTAGCAAATTAATCCAAAATGAGTGGGTAGGAACAGTAACCTGTTGAGAATTGTGCAAATGATTTGCATTTGACCATGGAGATTAACAGCAGATTAGCGACATAAGTATAAATTGGAAACTGCTCAAGAACAGTTTGGGATTTTGAATTGAAACTGTTCTTTTAATTCAGATAAAAGACAGCCTGTAGAGTTCGTAGAAAAAAGGTAAGATTTACTATTCCTTCCCATCATTCCAAGTAGACGACAGGTTGTAAAAAAAGTTGGTAAAAATTTTGAAAAAATTCTGGATCAGAAAAGAGAAGAGGAAGACATATTTAAAAGGAAGCTCAATATTATCAATGAAAAAATTTGGTTTGTAAAGAGATTTATAAAAAGGTACATTTTCGTATTCTCTTTTATAGACAGCAATTAATTGATAAATAAAGAAAAAAACACCCATTCTTACCGCATCAGTGACGGTTTTCAGAAAATCGAGTTCTTCCTGTAAAGCCTCAGCACGTGAATGTTCAGCGATACGTTGGTTGGTCTCATCTTTCAAGTCCTATATCCGAAATAAAAGGAATTCATATATTATTGAACACTTTTTATAGCAATGTGAAACCTAGTGAGTATCGAAAAAGCTAGGCACTAAGAAAAGAACAGTTGCCATGAAAATATTTATAGAAAATACCGAGGGAAGCCACGTCACGTCGGTGAGAAAGTGACTGAAGTCGAGACACCAATTCAGGACCTATTCTAGATTCTTCTTTGAATTTTGTCAAGAATGTCGAGATGCATAGCGAGAGCATCAGACCAGAGATATGGCAGGAGTGTTCAAGGTACAGGCGATTAACTTGATACAAGTCCCTCAAAAAATGACGATTGGCTTAAGAAGATACAATTTAAAGAAGTAAGAAATCTACTTACGGCTCTGGTTGCTTGCAGTTGGGAGTAAACCTCATTGTATTTGGCTTTCCAATGACCCACTTGATGCTCAAGTTCTTCCACCTTTCTCCGCAGCATATCGCATTCAGCGGTCCGATGAGAATTTTCATCATTAAGGCTATTGACTTTGTCTTGCAATTGGTCAATCCTTTCTTCATGAATGCGGCATCTAAAAGTATATGCATAAATATATATACACATATATATATAGAAAGAGATAGATAGATAGATAGATAGATAGATAGATATCAGGTCATCCCATAGGTTCTGTTCGAATTTTAACTTTTGTTAAAATGAACGAAATTTAAAGAGTATTTTATAATGTCCAATGGAGCTGAACATTATTTTTATGTTTAGATGCATTTAACCTGATCAAATTTTATTTCAGAGAACAATAAAATTAAATTTTGTTTGATTAAAACCCTGCTAACATGGAAGTACCCAAGAATCATTTGAGGCACATAATGCTTTATGAGTTCAAGAAAGAAAACTCAGCAGCCGAAGCAGCTAGAAACATTCACTCAGTTTATGGAGAGGAATGTGTGAATGAAAGAACTTGCAGATGATGGTTTGCAAAATTCAGAGGTGGAGATTTCACCCTTGAAGATGAAGATCGAACCGGACGTCCAGTTGAGTTTGATGAAAAGCTTCTTGAAGCAGCCCTTGAAGAAAATCCTGCTTTATCAGTTGAGGAATTGGCAGTGGTTCTCAGTTCAAACCATACAACTGTTCATCGTCATCTTCAACAACTTGGAAAAGTTCCTAAACTTGGAAAATGGGCGCCTCATGAATTGTCTGAAAACAACCTCAAAGCCCGAGTTGACATCTGCTCTTCTCTCCATTCTCGCCAACTTGTTTCACCTTTTTTGGATAGACTTGTGACTGGCGACGAAAAATGGATCTTTTATCGAAATGCTAAGCGTCGTAGACAGTGGCTTGGTAAAGGAGAAAGACCCCAGCCATTGCCGAGAAGGGAACTTCATGGGCAAAAGGAATAATCCACTTTGAATTCTTACCACCTAATACAACAATTAATGCTCAAATATACTGTCAGCAATTAGAGCGTTTGAACCAAGCTTTGAGGAAAAAAGACCTGTTCTAGTGAATCGAAAAGGGTGATGTTTCATCAGGACAATGCGCGACCCCACACAGCAAGAATCACGTCACAAAAGATCGAAGAACTTGGTTAGGAGAAAATTCCTCATCCACCTTATTCTCCCGATCTTGCTCCTTCAGACTACCATTTGTTTCGTAGCTTACAAAATCATTTGGAAGAAACAGCTTTTGTAACACTAGTAAGAGGTTAAAACTGACATTTGTGAGTTCTTCGAATCAAAGCCAAAAGAATTTTACAGTAATGGAATTAGTAAGCTTGTTAATAGATGGAAGGAAGTTATAGATAATCAGGGAAAATACATTGTTGATTGAATCTGTAATTAAATGTAACATTTGGTCACTTGTTTTCTTGATTCAAAATTCGGACAGAACTTATGGGATGACCTGATAGATAGATAGATAGATAGATAGATAGATAGATAGATAGATAGATAGATATTTTTTCTGTAATAAGATTTCTCGAATATTTAGGCTGGTAGACGAAAATAAATAAATATACACTTTAACAAATGAATGAAGTGTGTACTGAAATATTGGTTCCTACTAAAATAGCGTTTAAATAATATATATATATATATATATATATATATATATATATATATATATATATATATATATATATATATAATTTCAAGGTATGCTATAGGCTAAAGTTCTCAATATCATGATAGAGCCTATGTAAATATAAAAGTGGACATTAAAGTCAACACACAGAAGCAACAGTATATTTAATGCTAAAGGCAATGATCCTGACATAGCCTGATGGTTGCGTTCAACTTCATTGACGAGTGAGGTCAACACCAAGCGATCGCTTGGTGTTGACGTCAATCGTCAATGTTGAAAAAAATAGAAATTGGGTTCGAATCGGACTTTTTTTCTCACTGGTGTTATTTAATTTGTCTCGCAAGATAATTTTAAGAGAACTAGTAGACATTGGACGGGTTATTAACAGCGTCGATAATATTAAAAGTATACTTTATGCAGATGAAACTGTGTTGATAGTATATTTCGAAAGGAAACTGATAGTACTATTAAGAAAGATAGTGAAATTAAGAAAAAACACATCAGCCAATAATCGTAACAAGAGACGGAAAGTACAGCACTGAGAACAAAAGACGTATTGGAATGGCCAAAAATGCATTCCAAAAGCTAAGGAGACAGAAAATTTTCGTTAGAAACAAAGAAAAGAGCACTGAGTTGTTACGTGATATCTGGCGGTGAATGCTGGGAAATTCCTCAAAGATAAGGAAGCGACTTGAAGTAACAAAATTGTGGTTCTACAGACAGATGCTGAGGATACCGTGGACCGAACAACGACGAGGTTTAGGAAAAAATGGAAACAAAAAGGAAGCTTAGAAAACCTGATACTCACAGGACAGAGGGAAAGAGGGAGAAAGAAAAGCAACGCGTAACCTACTTGATGATCTTGAGCAAATAGATGGTAGAACAGGGTTTGGGAGAAATAGCAAAAACAGAAAGGACAGGAAGATGTGGAGGGCCACTATCGCTTTCGTCATGAACACGGCGCATAAAAGATGAAGAATTGTCAGAAAACAGAATTCGTAGTGGTGAGTAAAAGGAACAATTTACAGTGTAATTTACATCTAGGGAATGTTACTGTAATTCATGTATTTGTTTAGTGTAGTCACATGATTAAAACAGTATCAGAAATTTGACAGAATAGAGGCCTTCTGAAACTGAACAAGGAATCGAAAAATCATAAAGAAAAGAAAGCTGACCGAATATGTAATGTTGAAGCTGGGATTTCTTGAAAATGAAGTTCTTAAAAATACCAAGTTTTCTGCGAAAAATAAGCGATTTTATAAGAGCGTGTATTTAACATTACATTCAATTACGTGCTAATAACCTACATATTCATAAATAATAGAATAGCAACCATCATAGGAGAAGGAAAAACTTTGAATTCAAAACATCTAACTATGGCGAAATGTTAGGGAAGTCTGGGCTCTAGTAGGCATGTTTGGTAACCAAACTACGAGAAGGAAAACTTAGAATTCAATGCCGGAGCGCCTAAAACAATCCGATGTCATGTTCAACTTCGTTCTGGCAATTCATGCAATGACGCCGGTGCCAAACTGTATTGGGGCAACATCGGTGGCATGGAGAGGGGAGACGTGCACTTATTAAGAAAAAAAAAACAAAAAAAAAACGCCCACGTCTGCAGTCTGGAGGTGGCGTAACTCTTCGGTCGCAGAACCATAGTATTTCGAGACCAACGAATGCCTTAAAATACATGTGAAGAAAATAGTTTTAATGTGATCTCCTGTAAATAGAATTGGTATACGCTTCCAACAGATGTATCCATCTGCAAGATATAAGAGTTCTAGCAAACCTAGCGTTCTCGAAGGAAAAAAATGACAGTCGTATAAAATATGCAGTTCCTCATGATAGAAGGCTAAGTCCATGGAACTTGTCCTAAAATATTCAGAAGTGCTAACAATAAGTTTTTTTTTCAAATAATTTCACCCCAAGCAAGTCAATAAAGCCAATAAGACGCAAGAGGTTACTGTTTGTTTTGTTTGTTTAAACAAAATCAGCCAAACAACAAACAAGAACTCTTTCATGACATTAATTCATATAATATCCAATAATTTCCTAAAGAAATCAAACTGTATTCCAAAATATAACTTCAACAAAACAAGAACATAAAACATATCACCGCCTCTAGTAATTATGTCCACACAAACATGTATATGCACAAAAGCGGAGTATCATCTACCATGTATTCAAATGTGAAAGCAGAATAACATATATCATATTTTATTGAAATAAATACTGTTTAAAATAAAACAGAGCATCTGCTCAAATACGGGTTTGCATTAAAATAACGTTTGAAGTAATAAAAATATATTGGATTAGAAAAATCCATTAATTCTTTAGAAATTGCTTTGTTTACGTTTCGGATAAGGAAGTGAGCAGATATGCGTCTCCAGAAAAATTTGAACAAGTGTGTGTTAAAGGCCAAATAGAACCTTGCTTTATTGTGATTGTCGTTTTAGACCTTGAAGATTTCTAATTAGATTTTTGCTTTTTATTCGGTGCCGTATAACAGAAGGTACAACGCTTTATAGAAAAAAATCATGTAAAATTTATTTGCCAATGAAAAATCTGAGATGATAAAGTCATGATAATATGCAAATTTCCAAGTAAGAATTGTTCCATCTTATTATGAGTGTAAGGTCCCTTGGTAAGTCATTGTAGTTGAACATTAGCTTGCTTTTTACCCTAAAATCATGGCTAAGATTTCCGCTGAAACAAAGATGAAATTTGTAACTCTGAAGGGGGTGACTCGATGAGAGATTGCCAGACGGCTGAAAATTTCCAGAAATAGTGTTCAAAAGACTGTCGGAAGTGTTTTTAGTACAAAGAAAACCGCAAGTTCACAAAAGTTAGACAAGAGAGATGAAAGAAAGATTGTGAGAGTCTCGATAATCATGTGGGGTTGCATCAAAACAAATTGGTAAAATTAGTAAATGTTGATGGAATCTTAAATAGGGATATATATATATATTAGTTTATACGGTCTAACCTTTTATCCAGATTACAAAAATGGAGAAATTTTTCAGCATGACGGTGCTCCATGCCACACATCACGTGCAGCAAAATATTTTCTTGTGGATGAAGATGTTCAATTTTTGGAAGTCTAGACAGCCCAAGGTCCTGATTTCAATATAATTAAACCATTGTGGTGGGAAATGAAGAAACAAGTGCTCCAACTACCAAATAGAATGGGGAAAATTTGGAGCTTGTTCCATTTGATGCTACATCGAATTGAGACAATTCTTCTAGTCAAAGGTATCAACACTAATTACTTAGTCTATACTTTCATGTTTTGCAGTTTCTGTAATAATAAAGAACTAATTTTCCAAATATGTATTACTTTTTAACTTAAGAAAAGAGCTGAAAAGTGAAATTTCCGCTAGTGACCCAGTATTTTTGCATGACTTTTGTTTGACATCAACATGCTTAAGATGCTTTATCATCCACCATAGAGCATTAAAGAAAATGCAGTAACTTGTTTTCTGGTCCTCAAAGGTCATCACATCTACTGGGAAAAGCTTCCTGCCAATCACTCTCGATTTTTTTTAAGCATTTCACCCCAAGCAAGGGTGGGGTGCCACGAGCACGCATGGAGTTAGTGAGAGTAAGAGTAAAGGGGGTGTTTGAGGAAAGGATAAAGAGAAGGACGGGGATCAAGATCAAGGCATCAGAAAATGCCGATTGACATTACATTTGAATATTCGAATATTATCGCTATCAATGAAGACAGTAAGAGGAAGGGAATTCCACTGTCAGGAAGTGCAAGAGAAGAAGCTGTTGGAGTAGAAGAGTCGGTTACATTTAACGACAGTGAAAGGGTGGGACCGAGATGCCAACCTAGTAGCACGCTTAAATTCATGCAGTTAGCGGACCAATGAAAGTATCTCGTCAGAGCAGTTACCGTGAAAATATGTGTAGAAAAGACAGAGGGAAGCCACAGCAAGTCTGTGTGAAAGTGACTGTAGTCGAGAAGCCAGATCAGGACCTATCACATTGGATATCTGTCTTTGCATTTTGTCGAGAACGTCAAGATGAACAGTGGAGACACCATACCATATAGGGCAACAGTATTCAGTGCAAGGACAAATAGATTTGTAGATTTGAAGGATGGAATCAGACGAGAAAAACCTTCTGGCGCGAGATCTAACTTTCCTTGCGGTAGATGAAGCTATTGATTCAGGTCAGTGGACAACGTGAGACCAATAAGGTGCATTGAGGCGCTCTCGTGAAGTTGAGCATCAGCCATACTGACAGAAGGCAGGAAGGTTTTTCTATGGTGGCTAAATGAGAGCAGTTTCGTTTTAGAGGCATTAAAGTTTACAAGCCATTGCCTGCCCCAGTCAACCACAGATTGGATGATTTTTTCGAAACCTAGGGCCAGGTTAACTTTGTCAACAATACTGGATTTACTATTGAGACAGGAGAATAGTGTCGTTTGCGCAGATACCGACTTGAGAACTGATTTGGGGGCGTCAACTTAATAAAATAAATTAATTTACCAAGTTGGTCAAACGTTTTGCACGCCAGCGTATATATATATATATAGTGGGGACGAGTAAAATGGTATTTAAAATAATATGCACCCTCTGACAGGATTCGAACTTGTGTCTCCCTTATAGGTACTATTCAGCCTAGGTTGATCGACAAAGTTTCTTTGTTGCCGAGTCAATTAAAGTAAATCGGATCTAACGACAGTTCTCTTTGTCAAGACAATTTGAAAAAAAAAATCTACTTTGACATTTTTCACCGGCGTTATCATTCATTCATTCATTTTTACGGCTTATCAACCATTTGCAGCTTATTTAAAGCCACAAAATATTTTCAAAATGTAAGAGTATTTTTTAGATAATAATATATTTTGTGATACAAGAAATACTAATAAACCCATAGATGGGGGAGAAAAGGCGGATTCATAACTCTCCCAAGCGTATTTTCTTGCAAGTAAATATGACAAACTTAACGGAAATTAGAACAAGTCTTCTGAGTTACTATCCATTCACAACCCAAACATTTAAGCTTATAGCACCTGCTATTTCTAAGCGGACAGCCATCTAAGTTCTGACCAAGCTCAACGAGAACCGATGTTTCAACGTAATGTGGTCGTAAGCCGAACATTATCAGAACGAGAATTGTCCGAGACAAAACGTGATTTACGTAAAGGAACTGGATGCGTGCTTTTCGCTATAATCCTTCAGTTATAAAAATTAGATTCGAGGTAATTTCTATTCATTTTTTCTTTTTGTTTTTTTTCATAAATTTATTCCTTTATTTTAAAAATAGAAAATAAATAAACAGAACTAAAAACTGAATTTTCCACATATATATTTACCCTAGACATGATAGCTGTGACCTTGTTGCCAAATATGACAGTCACCAAACATCATTGTGCAACATTGTTATATTTTAAACCAGTACAGCTCTTTAAATCAGGCAGTCTTTCAAACCCTATAGCACAAAGTTGACAGACTCATATATTTTGTTATCATTATCTATATTTTTGTGAATTTTTGCATCTTTTCAGTCCACCAGCTTACTTGCTCACTTTTTCACAAATGTTATACACATATATGTGTCTGTAGTGTAGGTTCTATAAATATATTAAATCGTAGCAATCAATTCGGGTGTGTCGATGTCAATTCATGCACTGTTTAACAAGCTGTTGTTTGAGTAAAGAATGACTTTCAACACAATTTATTAGAAACAGCCTTAATACTAACAATTGGAAAAATGCGAGCACACCGATAAGCAATTAATACCAAGATGTTACCACATATTTTAAATAAGTGTGAAATGCTTATGTCTCTGTAAATAAAATTTCTGGGTGTTGTGGATTTTTCTTTTCGAGCTGCTATTAAAGGAAGTAGAAATGGAGTTGATTTTTATTTACAAAAACATAAATAAAAAGTTGCTGCTGTTTAAACAAAAGCACAATACGACATTCAAATGGCACCTTGTGAGGATCAAACTGATTCTGTGAAGAAATTAATTGTGAGAAGAGTTTTCTATATGATGCGATACGATGGGGAGAGTCTATGAGAAAATAACAAGTTTAGATTTTGCACACACACACATACGTACACATTTAAAAAAAAAGATTTTAAAAAAGATCTCCTCTCGACAAACTACCCAAAATTCGAAGGGAAAAGGTTAAAGAAAGAATTGATGTGCCTAGTGGAGAGGTGAATTAAGAATTACTATATGAATAGATTGCACTTTTCATGGTTTTAAGCCGTTCGTTTTATCGGGTCTAAGATATTTTCAGCAATTATTCATGTGCATACACGAATCTTTTATATTAATTCTCCCCCAAATAATGTGAAGTTTCTTATTGCAAATTCACCGCAAGAAATTATAAATTTTAAATAAAAGTTTGTTATTTTTTTATTAAATTTTTGGAAGTTTTTAAAATTATAAATTCTAAATCAAAATTTGTTTAGCTTTTCTCGCAGTAATTACAACCCTCAGAATGAAAAAAATATAAAAAATCAAGGAGTTATTCACATTTCCCAAGTGTGGATGATATTCGAGGTACTTACAAGGTTTTTTTACAATTAAAAAAAGAAAAGAAATCTGTTTTTGGCTTTTTTATCGGGGTGAGCGCGAACGATGACCTCACACTTAGAAATAGCAAACCCGAGTCGCGCACATTTGGGGTAATCGCAAAGGTAAAACTAACCGGAGTGCAATGGGAGGGTCCCAATCTGGCAGAATTTGTTATGAGTTTTTGATAAATATAAATTCTTTTTATTTTGGGATGAAATAATATTTTGGGATAAATTAACTGATAAGATCGTAAGTATGCCCTCGGACCAAAGTTTCGACAATATTTTCTGCTTTTAATAATTAGTAAGTTTCATACCTTCTTTCGTTTAATTAACTCCTAAGTTTGGGTGCTAAAACTATTTAACCCATTAGTGGATAGTCAAAAATTTCAATTACTATAAAGCCAACCTCATGCACTTCTCGTTCTAGTAAATACACAGATACATACAGGCAATCTATGGAGGTCGCAAAGTGATACAAATCAATGTCTAATGAACAAAAGTGATATTCTTGATTTTTTTTGTGCGTGTGTGTGTGTGTGTGTGTGTGTGTGTGTGTGTGTGTGTGTAGTAATGCAAGTTTTAGTAAAGGAATGTCAAGACCAAATCCGTTCTTCCTATTCATAATATGCGATCAAGCATACAGGCAAAGATCTTCGTTGGGCTGGATGTATCTATAACTTGTTGGATGGCTTTCAAATCCTAAAGCCAGAATAGCCTGCATGGTTAAAAGCACAAGCAAATATTTTGAAACAATTCATTCGATCAAGATAATTAGATAAAAACAGGTGCAAGCACGTTTTTTCCAGGATTCGTTCAATCTCGGAAATTGAAAAAAATAAGGCAAGAAAGATTTTCTCGATAGAATGTCACAAGTGAGATGGGGTCTACCTCTGTTAAAAAAAATATAATATATATATATATATATATATATATATATATATATATATATAAGCTGAAATACACACACACGCATATGTATATATAATGATTTCACCTCAAGCAAGGCGATAAAGCCAATAAGATGTTACTGAGTGTGAGAGAATAAAAGAGAAAAACATTATTAAGGAGAGAGGACAATAAAAGAACGGATTTTAAGGAGACAGACGATAACGATTGACATTGCATTTGACTTTTTGATGATCAAAGTTGACTGGAAAGCAAAAAGTCGGAAGAGAGTTGTAGAAGTGAGAAGTGCGATAGAAGAAACTGTTAGCATAGAACTTACGGTTATATCAAGCCATTTCAACTATAAAATGAAAAGACCTTGATGCCAGTCTAGTACTAAATTTAGTGCTTAAATACATAAAGTCAAGGTACCAAAGAGGAAAGCTCATCAAAACTGTTACAATGAAAATATATATATATATATATATATATATATATATATATATATATATATAGATAGATAGATAGATAGATAGATAGATAGAACTACTTTTTGCTTACACTGATCGTTGATCCTCCAGTTCATCTTCGATACTGGTTACTTGAACTTTCAATTCAGCGTTTTCTTTATTAGCCTCTTCAAGCAACTTTTTGGTTTCGTCAATTTCTGCTTGATAGGCTTCTTTCATAGGTTCAACATCAAACTCTTTCCTCTTCTTCTTGAGAGCATCATGAAGGGCAGTGTTCTCCAATTGCAAGGATCGAACCTGGGAAATGTACGCCGCAAGCCTGTCATTCAGATCTTGAATGTTCTTCTTCTCCCCCTCTCGTTTATTCTTCATCTCACCGACCCCTGTATGGGCTATGCTCCCGGCGACCCCAACACCCATGCTTGCGGATACACGGTGGGCACCCATCATTCTCATCGAATTTGAGCCCAAGTCGGGAAAACCAGGACCTGATGTTGATCTTCGATTGATAACAATGTGTTGTTTTTTAGTACTCGGGACGTACATATGTTGACGTTTCTGCATTTCGGTCATTTTTACGATACAAATTCACTCGTGATAAGTGGAGTTTATCAAACGAAAAGTCCTTTGGCGAGTGAAAATTTTATCGATGGATGTTAAGTCCCAAGCTGAGAAGCTGTTTGCGAGTCTGTACACTCCGGTTACTCTTCCAACTGTGACTCGGTTGAAGTCTTCTTGCGCTTTTATACTTGAGCTTGGATTTAGGGCGAGATTTCATAAACAGAGGATGTGGCAATGGGCGGGGGTTGTGAACTGAAGCGCAGCAACTGTGACAAGATTTTCGACCCTGGGACGGTTTTGTTCTAGAAAGCATTGAACTAAATAAAAGCAACATATGTAGGTAAATTGAAGAAAATTCCTTTCAGTTTCAAATACTATTTGTCAATTAAATTCTCTTCTCTTCTCTTCTCTCTCTCTCTCTCTCTCACACACACGTATATGCATGTATGTATGCATACAATGTGAGGCAAAAGTGTAACGTAGGGAGAGTTAATTAAAAGTATAATTACACATGAAAATTTTATTTACTAGTTATTTAATTGCTATACGTGCTGTTCAAAATGTCCTCCTTCTTTTTCAAAACACATCCCAATTCTGTGCCTGCAAGATTCATTAACACGTCGGAGAGTTTCCTCTGTCAATTTACTGCATTCATATTTCATTCTTTAAGGTCGTAAATATTTCTTTGGTATATCGGTTAAACAACTGATTTCAAATGGTCCCACAGAACCCCCCCACGCAAAAAAACACGAGTGTGAGATCTCGTGACCTTTTCTTTCTGCAAGATAAGAAAATATCAAAACAAATTAGACATTTAAAACATGATTAATTAATTAACCCCCGTGTGGTGCACGATTTGCTTCACCCTGTATAACAAATATTTGTGGCTGCAATTCCTCTTACAAATTTCATTAAAGACCACTGACAAGGCACTGCGATTAAACTTTTTATTACACTTATCTTGCATTCGTATAAGTACTTCTTCTGGAAATAGACTATATAAAAACATTCCAATATATATATATATATATATATATATATATATATATATAGTGTATTGAGGCAGCAAATATTCAAATGTATCTTGGTAAATATAAAGGGCAACGAATGTCTATTATGTTTGATCATATCCAAATGCTGGACAATTTTTGACTTTATTTTTATTTCCTCCCGAAACTAAAGTCACTATACGAAGCTTAGAACGACTCATGATCATACATAATAGACATTCGTTATCTGTTATATTTAACAATATGTTTGAATAATATATATATATATATATATATATATATATATATATATAATTCTGGATGTGAGATTTTGCAAAAATATTAAAAAATGGATAACATCAAAATGAATTTAGGAGAAATATCTTTCTACAAGATAAATTTTCGTTTATGTAAATCATACACAATTGCAAAACTACAACAGCTGATTCACGGTCATATAATTATATATATATATATATATATATATATATATATATATATATATATATATATATATATATATATAAAGAGATAGATATATAGATAGATATATAGATAGAGAATAGAAATCGCTGCTTGTAATCCTCTCAGATATTTCATTCATGTCTGTTCATTATCTGTTTCTTTTTTTCTCTTCGTCTATCTATCTATCTATCTATCTATCTATCTAGATAGATAGATAGATAGATAGATAGATAAATAGATAGATAGATAGATAGATACAAATATAAATGTGGACACTGATGTCAACACTGGACGGCGACAGTTTATTTCATGCTTGAACGCAATCTTCAGGCCATATTTTTATATTTACATACGGTCTAGCCCGGGTACTGACCTCTTTTACCCCTAAATATTTCCTATATATACTATATTTGAGAGAAAGAGATACGGAGAGAAAGTAAATGTGAAAGACAGAGGAACTGAGAGAGTGAGAGAGAGAGAGAGGGGGGGATATAACCATCTGTTGTCATGCGTACCTTGAATGGTATTACTTATGCATTTACATTTAATTTCAAGTTCAGTACGAAAACCTGTATACATACACACGCGAACACACACACACACATATATGAGTGAGAGATAATATATATATATATATATATATATATATATGCTGATAATAATCCTAGATGTCACATTCAGATATATATATATAGTAATATTGAGAGAGAGAGAGAGAGAGAGAGAGAGAGAGAGAGAGAGAGAGAGAGAGAGAGAGAGAGAGGGAATGTCTTTTAAGGCGTGGTCCGAATGGTACCAACCTTAATTCTTGCCTCTATATTTATCATTCTGACACCAGACGCTTGTTAGAAACCAACATCCCAAGTTTTAAGAGGGGGACGCTTATTAAGAATCTATGCCAATGTTGGAATGAGTATTATCCTTTTAAAACGTATGCGTCTTTTTTTTGTTTTTGTTTTTTAAATGATTTTATTCAGAAAATATCAGCATGGAAAGAGTCTAATTATTCGCTAATTAATTCTCGGTAGTTAATCTTATTCTCCCGAGAACGGAACGTGACACAAGACTAAAGCTTAAAGCGAGAGACACACACCTACATTGGTCCTTTTTTCATTTTGGGGTCGCCTTGAGCGACGTGGATTATCGAAGAGCTCACTGCTACTGGTTTTCATGAATTCATGTTGTCTTAAGCCGAATACTTCCATCTGACCTCATCTGAATCTAGCGTGTCGACAACAGTCCATTTGAGGGCAAGGTGACCCCAGAAACAATATATCAGACCATCTGTACTTGTATTTTTGTTTACTGCTTTTCTGTAACACATTTCAAAATTTTATGTTTCAAGACTTTCGATCTCTCGGGCAGCAGCCATTAATTTTACTGATTAAAAAAAGGAGGGCGTCTACTTAAATACGTGAAATTTTAAGTTATATTAATAAGAGGTAATGTTAGATTAAAAATCCAATAATTGCTGATACACACGCACGCAACCACGCAAGAATTCTTTTAAACAAACTATGTTAAAAAAACATCGACTATGCAATTGTTTTTTACTAAGTTTAAAAAATTCTGAATAAGTCGTTTTATTCCAAACATCATTTTTTTTCGTTTTTTAGCAAGTACTTATATTCGATATAATGGATTACATTTTTTATCTGTTTATGAAACTGTATGGGGGTCAATTCACTCAAGATGACGACATTTACAAGCATCAAACAGAATTTTTAGGTATTATTTTTTATATACACAGTTCAAAATGGCCACCCCGCCGTGGTGCAATGTTTAGAAACCTTGTCTTGCTAGATTAATTACCACTGAGTATTGAGTTCGATCCTCAATGGGTGTCCCATACTTTCGGCCTTGTGCAACATTTAAGGCGCGCTTAGAAAATCACTTAACAGAGGGTTTCATATAGATAAAGAAATCCTGTTAACAGTTTTCCTTGTTTTACAACGGCTTCGATAATGCAGAGGACTACTTCAAATTCTGGAAGCAGTTGTCATACTAGGGAAGCAGCCATAATAACATACGGTACCTTTCTCCATCGGAGATTTCCTATATTGAAGGATGTATTAAAAGTTCACGTAAAAATTCAGTTTGACCCTGTAAATAACATAGAGACGTATTAGGGGTACTCAGAACACAAAAACGATCGATTGCATAAAATGACGGAAATTTGAAAAAGTTAATAAAAAATTTGATAGAGAGAACTTGTTGATTATATATATATATATATATATATATGTGTGTGTGTGTGTGTGTGTGTGTGTGTGTGTGTGTGTGTGAAGTTCTCGGCAGCTCCCACTTACTAAAAGAAAGTATATCAGATTTATTGAGGGAAAAAATACTTTCTTGGTCAGGTTGAGAACTTTTTAGTTTTCCTGTATGCATACATACAGACATCCACACACTCATACATACACACACACACACACACACACATATATATATATATATATATATATATATACGTGTCTGTGTTGAGATAGATAAATGGCCAGATAGATAAAATGAAAGTAATTAGTAGTAAATAAATTCATAATTGCAAAAGTATTATTTAATCTTGTCTGCTTATCGTATGTATAAACCAGCGTGTGCACCTACACACTAATATATATATATATATATATATATATATATATATATATATATATATATATATATATATATATATATATATATATATATATCATTGGTGGCATGACTATACCGTCGAATACAGTAAGTAAATGTAGGTTAGCGGCAGTAATTTCGTGTTCACTCAAATGAAGTGATTCTGCCTGATATCTTTTCATAGTCTCTTATCCAGTGGCATGACGAAAAGCTCTTCGCTCCACTGGGGCCGATCATAGTAGTCCTTGTTGCAGCTTTAAGCCATGATACGACATGATACCAATGTTACTAATGTTTCTAAACCTTCGAGGGACCATTGATGTATGGTCACTCGTAGACGATTTCTCTTGCCGTCCACGTGGTTCGTACTTTGTAGAGATACCATAACCAGGTCGGGGTGATCTATTAAAATCCTTAACCAACTCAAGTTTGGACCTGCTGTGTGAAAGCAGGCAATATAACCTATTTTTCCATCCTCCCATCATTCGTTCTTTCTTTCTTTCTTTCTTTCCTTCCTTCCCTCTCTCTCTCTCCGTTTATACACACACATACACACATATATACACACACAGAGACACACACACATATGAGTGTGTGTGTATACTGGACTCTCTCGTCGTTTTCGACATATGATTATCAAGCAGCTCAGTTTTTAGAACCAACAGCCAGATTAACCTCACACATCATTTGGTTTTAGTGGTGACGGCTTGTGCCGAACCAACCACACTTTTGGGGAAGAGCAGTATACAGTGAGCTGGTGCACACTATGCCACGAGGTCGCCAAACTTATTCTTGCAAATAACCTACAGTGGATACCCA